GCTAACATGCCCAACCTACTAATCAAGAGTATGCTGACATCCATTTTGTTTATGGATATTGCAATGGAAATGCGCGTCATGCAGTCCGTGAATATCGAAGAAGATATCCACACTTACAAATTGTAACGTGAAAATTAACTTTTCCCTCGAATTTCCAGTTCCATTCTAGTGTTCAAATATTCAGAGAGTGGTGAGACACTCACTTTGTAAGTAATTTCCTTTATTCATCATAGGTATCTACATAACACATAAAATTAGGGTAGAGATTCTTGGAGATTGACTTCTCATTGTGGACCAGACCTGGAAATGAAAGTAAACATTGAAATTAGAATATAAAACTCTTTAGGTACTCACCTGTTCGGAGGTATTTATATTTCCATCTCCATTCTATCTTCTGATGTGCTGGTAGATTTTGCATTATCTAGGATGAAGTAGCAGGTCTAGGGCTTCTGGTACTTCTAGATGAGCCTATGCATATATTCCTGGTAGGAATCTTGGTTTCATTACCATGGGGGTCGTCGTTTTTGTCAGCTTCGAAAATGAAACAATTTTGAATTGGTTTGTTATTGTTTTGCAGCAATTGGAATTTTATTTTGACAAATCGTTTGTCATAATGTCAGCAAGGATGATAGTGTCAAGAGTCATCACACGGAACACTTCGCCATCGCAACACAGACCACCTAGCACTCAGACCACCTAGCACTTGACGTTGTGAGAGGACAGAACGTCCAATTGCAGAGCAGCAGCCAGCATACTGTTCTCAACACTGGCGCTAGACACTCATCCGGAGGCTGACCATAATTCCGTGGTTCTGTGTGGATGTCGAGTCGTGTCCTCATTTTGATATTCTGTGATGATTCTGTCAGTTTATGGTTTCGGATAAAGTCGGAAAGGTCGGAATAAATCGAGATTTCGCCGCGTCTTCTTCGTATTAAGCCAATCACAGTGTTGGAAGGAGGTCACGTGTATGACGCTCAGCGTCAATGTGGCAATGTAGGGCTGCGCTGTGTGATAGTCATGTTTTTTTAACATAATTTTTAGGGACGAAAAACCCAGAAATTTCGATAGGAAATACCCCTTCCAAAAATCGACGACGTTTCCGTCCTTACCAATTCTACTTGTAGGCTGCAAGATGGAAGAGAAACATTTTCTGTACATCATTTGGAAAAGTGAGGTCTTTCCTGACAGGGGTAAGTTGGAAATAACCAGTTGGTTCTAGATTTTGTTATTTTCTATTTGGTGAGGTCGTCAATAATTTGGGGATCTATTTCATTAGATTTGTGGGCCTCCTCGGAATACCCAAACCGAGTCACCCACGAGGCCATTTTGTCTTGGCATTGTGACGGGTTGTTAGATGCCAAATCTGGATTTATTGGAGTCCTAGGCCGACTGATCTCCACTTCAAAGACTGAGGAGAGGACACTCAGGGACGTCGAGACTCCAAGTTCACCACGAAGGGGCCCTAGAAGGCAACTCACGTGGCCACATCTGCCAGGTCTACTCTGCATGAGAAGTCTCCGGTGCTACATTGTTCAACCTGGAACTGAACTTTCCTCACCCACTGTATCTCAATCAACATTATAGGGATTCCCTTTCGTGCGCTCCAAGCGATGAAAAAAGAAACTGCTGGACTGGAAGCAGCAACACCAGCACAGTTGAAGGCAGGTAGTTGGAGGTTTGTTCGTCGCTGCCTCAGGTCCACCTCAGGTTGTAGGCTGTCGTCCACATAGGCTGTCTTCCACATAGGCTGTCTTCCACATAGGCTGTCTTCCATGCAGGCTCAACCCTAGCCTGTCTTCTGATTGCCCAACAGTCAACCTTCGATGATGGTCGTCTTGTAGACGGTTGAGTAAGAACAGAAATTTCGTTGCCCCAATTTTTTTAGTGAAGTTATAAACCCATATTTCATTTTATAATTTTTTATCCACCTGAGGTGATAATCTGATAATGCTACCTTCACATTAAATAATATCTGAGTATAAATCTATTTTTCATGAGTGTACATCCCAATATAGTACTATATGGGGGAATTTTAGGAAGTTTAGGGTATTTTGAACCATCCATGTGTACCATTTTTTTTCAAGATATAGTCTGGATACTACCAGTCAAGTTCCAACATTGTAAAGAAGGTGTTGTCAGAATATCTCAGAATCATTCATTAAATTATATTGAGTTCACACAGTGTTTTTTCTCAGATTTCTCTTTCAGGTAATTAGTTGAATTATTATAATCTTATATACTTTCTTGGTTCATTTAAATCAAATCAAGTGGCGCCCTTTGTCAATCAACAATCTGAATCCACTACCATTGCTCGCCAGACGAAAAGCTGCTGTGCCTTGTAAGCCAACATAAAAATCTAGTTTAATGTTCAAACATCATTATTCAAAATTGCATAAGTTCGCTACAAAATACACATAGAAATATTGCTGAGTTTGGAATACGTGGAAGGCACGAGCAAAATAGAAATAATAATTATGGAAGACGCAGAAGAAATAATCATATTTTGCAATTATTTGATGTAAATCAATGCCTAAGTACACGAAGAGCCGCGATGCAACTAGAGATTTCTCAATCAACTGTGTGGCGTACAACCAGTGCAGGGTTCACAACCAGAGGACCCACCAAGAAGATTGGCATTTTGCCACTGGCTATTAGAAGGAATTGAAAATGACGAACAGTTTAAAAAAATATATTGTGGACAGATGAAGCCACATTTACCAGAAGAGGGGTGGTAAATTACCATAACTTACATGTTTGGGCTCACGAAAATCCACACGCTATTCGTGACCATGATTTTCAACACGAATTTCATGTTAATGTCTGGAGTGGCTTAATTAATAATGTCGTTTGTGGACCGCACATTCTTCCCGATAGGTTGAATGCCTTATCATTTTTTAATTTTTTGAATGATAATCTTAATGAGTTACTGGAAGAAGTATCACTCAACATCAGACCAGAAATGTGGATTCAACTGGATGGGGCCCCAGCTCACTACGGAAGAGTAGTTAGACAGTGGCTTAACACGAATTTTCCGCGTCGTTGGATTGGTCCGTTAGGTCATATTGCTTGGCCTCCCAGGTCGCCCGACATAAATCCCTTGGATTTTTATTCCTGGGGTACTCTCAAAGATAAGGTCTACGCGATACCAGTCCAAACAAGGGAGGAACTTATCATTGGCATATCCAACAAGCTGGCACTGAAATGAGGAATGATCCCAACCAAATGTCTAGAGCAACTTCTGCATTAGTACGGCGATGTAGAAAGTGTATAGAGGTTGAAGGATCTCACTTTGAACACGTACTCTAAGCTTTGTTGATATTTATCTCCAGGTCTGTGTTAGACATCAATTATTGTTTATTTAGGTTGAATTATTTGCTTTAGTACAATGTTTTATTATGGTTATGTTTAAGATGGAAATCATAAAGTAAATTCATAAATTGAAAAAAACAAATATTTGTATTGATAGCTTACCTAACTTTAGGATGATAAGGTTTTGAACATTTTCAAAATAGTAGAATTTTTTTACGGCAACTTTAGGAAACTGAAAAAAAAACTTGACTTTCTACCCTTCTTATCCCCGTTACTGATCCAGATTGAACTCGTGATTTCAATTTCAGTGAGTACATTTCACTGCATTTTCAACGAATTTTGTCACAGAATAAAATATTCAAGCGAAACATAGGCAAAATTAACATGTTTTGAAACGTATATGCTTATTTATCTCAAAAACGGTTCGTTTCTCGAAAAAAATTGAAAAGCAACAAACTCTAAATTGAACGATCCACACAATTTGATCACTGAAAGATGCCAGAGGCGTACTACGAAAAACTTTGGAGGGGATAAAGAAGCCTCTACCTCCAAAAACGTATCACCCTGTAGATTCTGAAAATCTTTAAAATGCTTGAAATGATGATCTTCTAAGAAGTTTTGACCACACCAAATTTCAAAATGATATCTCGAAAAGTGAGCGACTAATGTTCATATAAACTTTTTTGATTAAATTGATGAGATCTATCTCCCATTTCAGCCAATACCTGCAGCCAACACCTTTTACCCCAGGAAGTGACGTTACTTCCGAAGGCGGCCATCTTGGGTTCGTGATAAAGTAGGTACCCTATAGGCGTTTTCAGAAACTTACTCTGGGTCGCTAACTCGATCCAGAGAGGTCACGTGACGGATTACTGCAATCTGACTCGGATCACCTACCCAGATAATATGTTCACGAACGTATTAGGTTACGGACCTGAGTTGCAAGGACATAACAAGGTTAACTTAGACCAACTTAGACATAACCCAAAACCTACTGAGAACACCACTTGAAATTTGAAAACCAAAGACATACAGAACGAGGAAATCCTAGGTAGATGTGAAATATGTGGATTCATTAGTCAGGAGTCCAATGTCCGACGACATATGAGAGAAGTTCACGAATATCCTAGTAAATATTTCAAAATAATTTTATGTTATTTTCAATTATTCTACATTGAAGATTTTTCAGTTGAATCAGTGGTCATGGACAGTTATGGAATGCTCGATATAATGGATGAGTATGAAGATCGGAATGAAGGTATATACTAACATTTTTTCATTCATATTGTTTCTTTCACATTTCTGAATTATTTAGATTATTCCCAAAATGATGAATTTGACTAAACTACTGAGAGTCAAAATGATGAAAATCCGCTAGAAATGGATGACATTGAGGAAGGGAACATAGAAATGGTCCAGGTGCTGGAAAAGATTCATTGGAAAATGCCTCAAGTTCAGTTACTCATTCAATTGTATGACAAAAATAAACTGAAATTTGAGGATAAAAAAACTAAAAACAAAAAAATTTGGAAATCTATTGCTGAGGAAATGAGGACATTCAGCAATTTTGAAGTAACACCTGAACAGTGTGAAAATAAATTTAAGAATTTGAAAAAAAACATATAAAAAAAATTACTGATAATAACAATAAAACAGAAAGAGGAGTAAAAAATTGGCAATTTTTTAATGATATGGATCAAATTTTTGCAAAAGATCCAGATGTGAATCCAATTTCAACATGCAGTAACTTGGAAGGCCCATCAACATCTGATCATGTTGACAAAGACACACAAGAAAATATAAGTACCTCTAATCAGAATTTACAGGTAATTCCACATGCATTGATACTTGTAAAATTACTTGTGTATATTGTAGGTCAAAAAATCATTGAATGAGTACTGGGACTATATTATATAATACATGTTGATTATTGTTATTTCCTTATCAGCATGTTTGGTTTCATTTTCAGAATATTCCTCATGGAGTGAAGAGGAAGAAACGTTCTGGTGAAGAACCTGAGTGGTTCAAGAAGTTCAGGGAGGATTGCCAAAAGCGCCATAAAGAGAAAATGAAAAGACAAGACAGCCTATTACAGATTTTAGAGAAATTGTCAGAAAAGTAATTTTTTGACTTCAAATTTGCTGAAAGTTTTTTTATTTATTTATTTGCTGTGATCAAGTACTACCAATTCAGTACATCATTTGCCCAGAATATTTTTCTATTTTTGTTATAATATCCAGTATTTTCAAAATAGTTATTAAGTTTTTTGTTGTGATATCAAGTTCCTTTTTAGTTAACTATTTATTCAGAATTATTTTTAAGTTTTTCATTATGATATTCAGTACCTGAACTACATATTCTATTATGTACCTTCATGAAAAATATGTGTTCAATATTTTTGAATGTGAATAAATGAGTTTTTTACAATATCATATTAATCTTCTATCCTGTAGGCCGGCGTACCTCAGTTCTTTGATGCTTCAATATCGATTCACGTCGAGGTATCGATCGTGAGTTCGAGTCCCACGAACGCAGACTTTTTCTGATGGCCTAAGAAAGTGTTCGGGATCACACGTTAAAAGGTAATGCCCCCGTCATTCCTTGCTCGCACAAGACTTTCGAAGACTTCTGAGGGTTGCTCGTAAGGGGGCAACCGAATGACGGATAGAACAATTTTAGAACAATTTTACATTCACAGGGTAACATAGAAAAAGTAGATTATAGGACTTCAACATGGAACAGTTAATATATAAAATTATTTGAATCTATTTTTCAAAGACGAAATGAATTACATTATCATTCATATTCTACATTTTTCAAAATAGTTGGTAGGAAATGTAGGAAATAAAATAAAAAAAAAAGATAAAAACACTATATTTTTATTTGTTTACAAATTGTATCTCTTTTGGTACATGATGCAGGGTCATCTGAAATTATTTGATTAGTTATTTGTGAATCTGAATCCTCCAAGTATATTTCTATACCCTTGTCCTTATTCTCCATACAAATGTTGTGTAGAACACAACATGCAATGATAATTTCAGGTATGATTTCTGTTCTGTAAACATTAACAAATTTTAAAATTCTGAATCTACCTTTCAGCAACCCAAATGATTGTTCAATATAAACCCTAGTTGCTGAATGGAGGTAATTGAATCTTTTTTGCTGTTGAGTCAGAAATCCATTATCTCGATAGGATGTAATTAAATTAATGGATGGTTAGTGTGGATTAAGGCCCATGATCAGTATCCTGATTTATAAGACCCGATTAATTACTGGAAAATTGTTGATGGACGATGTGTCCCAATCTTGATGACTTTGCCACCTATTCCCAATTCATTTTCCGAATTTGGAACTCGTGGCTGCAAGGAGTTCTCTCAAAATATAAGAAATGAAGGCTTGGACAATGTTCAAATGCTTTTTTGGCTCATAAACTTATTGAGCACCCTCGAAAGCGTATGCAACTCGGTATGCAAGCATATACATTATGCAACACGTTCTCACAAGTTCTTTGAAATTTTGGTCTATTCCGTCAAAATTTGATCATTCGATGAACTTTCAATGCTCCAAATCATTTTTTGAGTGTCTCATCGTATTCTACACCCCCGATAACATAGACATCGACACCTCAATCGTATAGCTGACCGAAAGTAGAAAATAATTTGATTTTAGGGGTATTTTGGACGCCATCTTGAATATCTCACTTCCGGTTGGAATTTCGACTTGATAAATGGTATTTTCGGATTCAGCGGGGTCGAAATAGGGGGTTAACGTCTTTAATCCAATTGTTACATGAAATGCTTCTAGGATTTGGCTTTTCGCAAAACAAGCCCCGACTATAACCTAACCTGGCATTATTTGTCTGAACAATGAAAATAGTCTATATACTCGAGCATCATGAACAATTCCTGGACACCCTAGAAATGATATCATCATACAAATTTGGTGTTATGTTTATATACTAAGTTATAGTGGAGTTGCATAAATCTGCTAATATTATGCTGAAAAATTACCTGCAAAGCAGTCTGTGAATATGTAGGAAGAGTTCGAAACAGCTTGCAAAACAATAGAGTGATATTGTTTTCTATTTAAATATCTGTTGGGCATAAATGTAGGTGATACAATAGGAATATGATTGTGTTCCATCAATAGCACCTATGACTCCATCAATACCTCCTCTCTTCTTGAATCTTTGAATCACATTATTATACTGTTCAGGCCATTTGATAAAATCTTGGGATACTTGAACCAGAACACTGATTATTCTTTGAAAATATTCCCAGGCTGTACTCAATGATACATTGAATCGGTCTGCTACTGATCAAAAAAATAATATTTTGTAAGCAGGGGAAATCCAAGGCGGGGTGGCAACACTGGAATGGGCGAAACGGGACTGAGTGAGGACTGACGGCGCAGGGAAAGACAGAGACATCGGGAGGTATCCGGAGAATTGAATCGTAGACGGTAGCAAGGCGTACGGAACAGCTAAGTTGTATATCGATAGCAAAAGCGAATATACGGTGTTTGTTTTGAGAAAAGCGTGTTTAAATAATTAACTCCTAACAGTTTCAGAAGTGGTGATAAGTGGCTCACGGCCTAGTGTTGGTGAATCGGCGTTTATTTTGCGGTATTTAGTGAAATTGTGTTTGGTTTTGTTGTTGTGAGAACACAAGATGGCAGAACAAAACAAATTCCATGTTGGCATTGACGATGATGTTTTGGATTATGAGATTGAATCGATGGGTGATGGTTCCAGTCCAGACAGGAATAATCAGACCGATGGAGATTTAGGCGATGGGTTAGCGAAAACGATTAAAGAAATCGTGGCGAAGCAAACTGCGTTGGCATTCCGAAAACTAATGGCAGGCATGACAACGAATTCGGGCGAGTCCAAGGCGGATGGCACTGGGGAGAGACAGGTAGGAAGAACTCGGCGTGTTGAGGTGAGTGAACGTATCGGGGGCAGTATTTCAGGTTTTTTAGGTGGAAACAGTGGTGCGGCTGGCGCTGGCAATAGTGGTGCGGCTCGCGCTGCCAATAGTGGTGCGCCTAACAATAGTGGTGTGGCTGCCACTAGTGGGATGGCTGGTAGCAGCGGGGTGGGGTGCTGTGCTAACTCCGATCGTAACCGGGGTGAGGCGAGAGCGACTGGCGAGATTCTTGAGCCATTCGATCCAGACAATAAAGATTGCAATGTTGAACGATGGTTGAATAAAATAGATCAATTGGGGACGATTCACGGGTGGTCTCAATACGAAAGGTCATGTTTCATGCAATCTAAATTGCGGGGTGCAGCTCGGGGATGGTTCAATCGGCTGGAGAAATATGACCTGAGTTGGGATGAGTGGAAGTCGAATCTGAGGAAGGCGTTCCCTCGGCAGCATGATTATGCTGAATTGTTGGTGGAAATGTTGGCGAGGGTGAAACTACCCGGCGAAAGCATGACACACTATTTTCATAATAAAATGGCCTTATGCGAAAGGTGTGAAATTGTTGGTGATAAGGCGATATCTTGCATCATCAGGGGACTTCCTCTGGAGTTGCAAGGTAATGCGAGAGCATTCAAATGCACCTCTCCTGGGGAATTATATGGGAGCTTTTTGTCTTCATTTGATGCATACAAGGCAATGTCAACGACTGTACCGGATTTGAAAAGGCGCTATTCAGGCACGGTGTCAGACAAGGCAAAGATGGCAAGGCCAACCCACAGGGCAAATGAAGAAAGTAGGCGGGAAAGTGGGCGGGACAGTGGGCGGGACAGTGGCAAGGTAAGATGTTATAATTGCCAGGAATGGGGCACTCACATTAGCAAGCACTGTCCCAAGGCAAAGGTGGAAAGGTGTATGATTTGTGGCCAGACAGGCCATGAGCGAGTATCGTGTCCCCGCAATAAATACCCCAAGTCGAGGCAGGGCGTACAGGTGAGATTGGTTGATATTGATCGAAATATTTTAAAAAAAAAAGGCAATCACAGCTGATGGCCGTCAGTTGAAGGCGTACTTAGACACGGGAAGTGAGCACAACATACTTGCTGCTAGTTGTGTGGCAAATTTGAAAATCCATTCAGTGGCGCCCTCAGCTGTGATTCTCAAGGGGTTTGGTGGGGTCAATGTACAGCAATTGGCGAAACGAATTTGGCCTTGAAGATCGATGACATTGATTTGAAGGTAAAGGCGTTAATTGCTGATTGTGATTTGGTGGGTGCTGATTTGCTTTTAGGGCAGCCGACGTTAAACAGTGAAGGAATCATTTTCACAGTCAAGGACGGCAAGGCGAGCATCTCCAAGGCTGTGGAAGAAAGTGTGATCGCGGCGATCACTTTGGAAGAAGGCGACATGGTGGATGAAAGAAGGCGGTGTCTACGAGCACGGCAGGACGTCACTGTACCACCAGGCGAGGAGACTAAGATGGAAGTGGATTTGGCGGAATACAAGGAAGGAGATATGCAGTGGATACCACCGAAAATGTTTGAGAAGCAAGGCGTCCTGGTGGCAATACCCAATCAATTTCTGAACGAAGGCGAGGACAACCAAATGACTGTTCGAAATTGCGGCGATGATCCAATTTCTTGGCGGAGGGGCGATGTTCTATCCAGGGCAATTGTGATGGAACTTGAAAAATTGAACATAAATAAGGTGAGCGTAGATGATATAACATTAGATTTTAGTCATGTTGATATGGGTGAGTTGAACAATGGTGAGAAGGAGCGTTTGCATGAACTTTTACAGAAAATGGCTGTATGTTTTTCCAGTTCAGATAATAATTTGGGTTCAACACATTTAGCTATGCAAATTCGTACTCAACTTGATAAACCTGTATTTTATCGACCATATAGATTGTCTCATGCAGAAAGGGCAATCGTTCGAGGCAAGGTGCAGCAACTTTTGGATAGCGGAATTATTCGAGAGACTGAGTCTGAATATGCCAGTCCTTTTGTTTTGATACCCAAGAAAAATGGCGATTTGCGAATGTGTGTTGATTATAGGGCGTTAAATGCTATTACGGTAAAAGATCGATATCCTCTTCCTCTTATAGGTGACCAGCTGAGCAGATTGGCAGGGAAATGTTTTTATACAACTTTGGATTTGGCGCAGGGATATCACCAGGTACCAATGCATCCTG